CCTAAAGGATAAACTGAAATTCCAATAGGATTTTTTGACAAGGGGTGCATTCACAATATCAACAAAACGTTGTGATAATGAAAAAACAAAAACTCTTTCATTATGTAATCCCTAAAGATGCATTTCTCTCTAAAGGCACGTCCAATGAGGAGATGGCGAGTCATTTTTTCATCACCATCTAAACTATAAAAATAAGGAAAAGCCTTAAATAGGCCCGATTATATTTTTTCAGATTTTTATGTTGCTCTGCTCTGAATACCTTCAAATTTAAAGGATTTGCTGCAATGCAATTTTGTCTGATATGTGAATTATTTATTGGGCAATTTTTTTTTTATCCATGCAGCAAATGCTTTAAAAACAGCTTTAAAAATTACTTTATTGCATTCCAGATGATTTTAAAGAACGTTACACTAAAATTTTACGGGTGGCTTGAATGTAAAACATTGTCATGAATTCGTTGTATTCCCATTTGTAAAATAGACTACAAATTAATTGCTGTAGTCTAACTCGATCTCATGAAAGTGCGTATAGCACGATTTTCTGTTTCTATTTGGCGTAATGTTTATACGCAGAAATTGACTTTGGCTTGCAAAAGACTGATAAATTCATAATTAATGGCATGGCTGGTTCAGTAAAGTACAGAAATACGGGACACACTGGCTTATAAATTACTGCTGAAATGTTTGCGGGGCAAATCTCAGGTCAGTCTGAGCGCTCATGTACGCACAATGCGTACAGCTGTACACCTGCACTGTGTGTATGTGCTTGTGGGTATTACATTTGTGTGTGGTTGTTGCCGCTAAAGTTGGCCATGATTCGGGACATGGTGTTGATAATTTTTAGACCTCTTTCTTATCTAGTCTCTTGCTTTTCGGAGAGGAATGCGGTTGCCGCGATTACTGGGTTACTGTGCTAAAAACAAAAACAAAAATTGCGGTAATTTTAGCACCACAGCGCTGAAACACTCAATGCTTCAGATAACCTCGCCTTCTGTGCTTTGCAAATACAATAGGTAACACATGCTGATGACTGTAAAATTCAACACGATTAATTTGGTACTTCTGGTGTGTTAGAGAGAGACGCACGCAAAGAGTTTAAATTTGAGTTTCTATGTTCAATTTATTATAAGAAACTGATAAGATACTGATTTTAGTTGGTCTAAATTAAGTAGGTTAGGCACAAATTTGCTTATATGGGTTCCCTTCTAGACACGAGCACTGTGTGTTTGTGTG